CCCATGACGGACTCTCGTCAGCACACACCCGACACTCCGTTGCAGGTCTCCATTGCCACGGTCCCCTGCGGCTGGGCTGGCGGCGGCGGGCCTTCAACCCAAGACATTTGTCTGAGCCAGCGAGATCTCACGGTAACGGCTCCTCGCAGCCTAGCCGTGGTGTTTACGCACGATTGCGGCAGGTCTGCACGCCTGGGAACCGGACGCAGCGTGCATGCACTGCGAGCTGTCCGAAGCATCACGCATCGACTGGCAGGTCAGGCAAGTAACCCGAACGGAGCTCTGCTGCTGGGGATCTGTCCCAAAATGTTGTCTTATTTCGTCTTGTCACAGCAATATAAAATCACACGGCAATGCGGTCGTGGATAAATATACTTCAAATAGTGGTTTATTTTCTCGGGATGCCTGGAGACCTTCTTTTCTCCTAACATTCAGACGTCAGACGCAGAAAAGCGCGGACCTAAAGACGCAGAAAGGCACAGACATACAGACGCAGAAAGGCACAGGCATAAAGACACAGACATGGCACAGTCTAGCACAGCTTGAAAATTGAGTCTCGAAGGGAAAGCTCACTTTTAAATAGGGGTTTCAACCGAGTCAATAACTTGCAATGCACTGAGAGATCTAGAAGAATACATCTGTATTGAGCTCCAAATCGCCCTTAAACTACTCCCGGCATTAAAAGCTCAAGTCTTAAGTCGATTTTGTTTTTAGTTGATTCTGTTTATGACGTCATCGGCGATGGCGACGCGGAAGGACGGCGATACGCTATTCACAGCAACATTCCGAGCTATATTTGATCTTGAGGGATAAATCAGAAGTCCACAAACTGGACTATATCTGAGGGAAAAATCAGTAACACACAAATACGATTATACCTGGAGGACAAATCGGTAATACGCTATTGCATTATCTTGTCCACGAACATCGTGCGTTTCATGTGAGTTCTCCCAGGCTGAACCAAAGAACAGCTTTTCAGATTATTCCAGCGGCTTTCCATTCCTTTCAAGTAGATATAAACAGCCAAAAAGACATTTCCTCCTTTGTTATGGGAGTTCATGTATAACATTACGCCGATTAAAGTCTTCGGAGAGAGATCAGAATCCGGACACATTCCATTGTGTTCGGTGTGAGAAGACTGCCAGGAGCAGGCACCATGAGAGTGTCTGCAGTTCTGGACAGGCTACCACGCCGTGGCAATTCGGTCATCACCGGCAAAAAGATCGTCGTACTCAGTTTTGATATCGGTCGAAGTGCAAGCGAACAACGCGCATGATAGACCCACGCACACGTAAGTGTGTATCTGCATGATTTATCTCCAGCACGGGTGGTCTCGATGCCGGCCGTTCCTTTCCCAGACAGAGTGCTAGATTCTTACGATCAGAGAGACATTCCGACCCAATGAAACCGGATTGGTCCCCGCTCACGATCTCCGAAAATTCCCACTAAGTGTCACCACTCCAGCGCCGATAAGCCACGCAGACGGGCACGCTTCAGGCTGAATCTCCGAAAACTGGTTTGTGCCGCAACTCCCTGCAATAAAGATGTCTCCACTTCTCTGAACGAAGTCAAGACGGGGACGCAAAGTCTGACCCTTTCTCCTCCGCCTCAAGCCGCGCAGCGTGCGTCGATCAATGATCCCACCTGTCCACACCTGGGCAATTAAACTGCAACGAATTCTTCGCCCAGATTGTTATTGAGGATTCTCACCGGGCTGATCGCGTTCAATGTGGACGCGACAGTGGAATGCATTTTGTTTCTGTTGTGCGGCAAGAAAAGACAAGGCCGAGTTACACCGCGATGAAGTTGGAGCTGAGCTGGCTTTTCGGACGAGTTGGAATGATTGATATTCCAACGAATGTTGGCGTGGCACTGTCATTGCGTACTTAACAGACTGAGACGTGATAAACAAGGTCTGCGCATTTGCTAATTTCAAGAACATCGCAAACGTTTTAATCGGGTGCGTAATTTGCGCGGCCTGGTGTATGCAGAATAGCTGATGTATTACCATACCTTAATCATTTTACAGCCTCACCTTGTCGTAACATTGTGGTCGCCAACCATGCCACAGTGGAGAGTACTGCTTTGTTAAATATTTGCTGTCATGTTTCAAAGTACCACCAAGCTGTTAATGGGCGCCGTGCTTAAGTCAGAGCTTGGCACACTGATTACAGTGAGAGGAATGACCGCTTGACAGGCGTAAAATTACGTCATATCATGTGAATCAATGGGAAAATGGTAATGGATAGTACGGAATATATGTCACCAATGTGGCTAAAAAGTGTTTTTTTTAGTGGGCCCAACCATCTTACCAGGCCTGTTTCAATTTAGTGGGTGATCGACAACGGACGAAATATAACATATCGACCAACGTTAGTAATGGTTGTGATATTTGTTTGTTGCCAAACATTGCGGGATATATAAATAAATACATGCATACATACATGCATATATATATATATATATATATATATATATATATATATATGTATATATATATGTATATATATATATATATATATATATATATATATTATATATTTATTTATTTATATATGTAGAGCAATGAGAGGGGAAGGGAAACGCAACGCGCTCAAACGCAGGCCCGTGCTGCGGGAGCGTGTATCGGTACCAACCGCGTCAGCCGCGTGCCCGGAGCGCCGGCCCCACCCGACGTGGCCGGAAAGGCCGCTGACAAGCGAGCACGTCCAGCGGGCATGGCCATCGCGGAACGCTGATCGAGAGCGCACGCACTACGCACAACTCGGACGGACTGTACACGAAGGAACAGTGTGCTGGTGGGAGACGACATGGGACAGACCGGAGCATGAACGAAATCGAATAAAGAAACACAGAAAAAGCACGGAGTGGGCGTCAAAACAATAATATTGAGACAGCCTGAGCCAACAGAGCTACCTCTGCCGCCCGCTCGGTGGCCGCCCGCCCAGCCGGGTCGGGCCCCGCCAGCCGCGTGCACGCCGCGGAGTATACCCCGGCCGAGGGTTGCATAACAGGCCCCACCAACAAGCCGCGCACACAAAAACCCAGCTCTGGCTTGTGATCAATGAACGGCGCTTCGCGGCATCACGCGGCTGGTCAGCTTATTGGCGACAACGTGTCATACGCGCAGCTACGAGCTGCACCTGTATTAGCCCAGGACGGCGCCCTTTGCATCCCAAAATAACACCCTATCAGATCGTAAACTCGTAATCAGGTCACGTGATAAACTCGTAAGCGGCAGGTATATATCGGGGAACACCCGCGCAGCGACTACAATTACGCCGACTGAGCCGCCTGAAGCCAGCCGCCTCAGCCAGAACCGAAGCTTGTGAAAACGCTCTGCAGTAACAGTCACCAAGCTGTTGAACTGCATGTCGGCTGTTTTAGCCGCTGATATCACTTCGTGTAACAGCATAGTACCTGAAGACCTATCACCATTGTACATTTGGTGATACCGAACTGTTCGCGATTCACACAAGGCTCGTGCATTCTGCTCGCGGTATTGAGACAAATTTCACCGTGTCATGTCATGGGCGCTGACGTGCTGATGGCCCGCCATCTCACGGTGAACCTGTCTTCTCGCTAGGCCAAAACTATCGCCGCCCTTAGCAAATCCGCGGCAATTTCCATCAGCAATTCACGAGTCGCTAGAGAGCCGCCCAAATCACTGGCCTTATCTGTTGCAGCAGGCAGGAGTCAGCGGCGGGCGGCCAGCGACTTCAGATAACACGCAAACAGCCTACCCAGCTTCCTCGAGCTCAGATCCTGGGACCATGGCCGGCCAACGCCGCCTAAACAGATCCAGTGTGGCTGCAGAGGCAGCCAAGGACGGCGGCGGGGCCGGCTAGTGACGGCGGTGTGCTCCTCGCCCGCCCGGCGCGCCAGACACGCGCCAATGCTTTGCATAGTTTAGATTACCGAACGCAGTCACTAAGCGGCGCCCCCATGCAGCGCTAGCCGCCAGACGGCCGCTTCAGGTGGCGACCCGGGCGGCGGGGTGGCCACGCGCGAGGAGACAGCCACCTGGCGCCGACGTTTATTACCACGGGCACACGGTCCCTGCACTTGAGCCACGTGACGGGACGCACGGCATGTCGCCGGCATGGGCCGGGACGATAGAGTTAAAGGCCCATTTCATGAGGGTGTGAAGGGCAAGGGTCCCGCTCAGCTGGAGACAGCAGAGACAAGCGTCCCCTCAGTTGGGGACAGCAGAGACAAGCATCCCTCAGCTGGGGACAGCAGGGGTAAGTGTTCCCTCAGCTGGAGACAGCAGAGACAAGCGTCCCCTCAGCTGGGCACAGCAGGGTAAGCGTTCCCTCAGCTGGAGACAGCAGGGACAAGCATCGCCTCAGCTGGGACAGCAGGGGTAAACGTCATCTTAGCTGAAGACAGCGGGGACAAGCGTCCCCCCCCCCCCCCCCAGCTGGGTATGGTAAGGTCAAACGTCCACAACAGCTGGGTACAACGGGGTTATGGGTTCATTCCAGCTTGGGATGGCGGGGTAAGGGCTCAGTTGGGGATGGCAGAGTCCAAGGTCCATCTCAAGTGGGGATGTTGGGGTAAAAGGTTCATCTCAGCAGGGGATGCCATCGATCTCGGCTGGGCATAACACGGCCAAGAGTTTACTCCAGAGAGGGAACAGGTTTACGGATAAGCATCTAGCAAACGGGTGCTGGGTGATGGCCATAAAAATAGGAGCATGGCCAGGGCTCCACCTGAGGTAAAATATAGTAGGGATGCTATCCTACTGCCACTAGGAAGGATGCGCCGGTCACATCCTACTTCAGTCGAAATCGGTATGATCACAGCTCCACCTCAGCTCAAAGCGTTGAGTCAGCGATCACCGGTGGCGCTGCGGCCAGATGAAACACCCGCGGGTCTGCGGACCGGGCTGCCGCAGGATCTCCGGCTCTCCGGAACTCAGAGCCCTGCTTCGCCGACGCACCGCACGCTCGCCGTCCCTCCGCCAGATCGCCACCGCCGCCACCGCCGGCACTTACCGGCAGCATGTCATCGAGCATGTCGGTGTTGGTGGCGCCGGTCGAGCCGGGGCTGCAGGCCTCCTCGCTGTCGGCGAGCGAGCTCTCGTCGCCGCTGACAGGACTGGAAGGGGCGCTGAGAGGCCGTGCTGCCGGCCCGCTCAGGCACCGGTACACGCCGAGCCGCTGCAGACGGCGCAGCGGCTCGTTGGCGCTCAGGACCTGTCGCAGCGCCGCCTTGGCGCGCGGACCGCCCTGCGAGCGGATGATGATCTTGATGCGCTTGGCGGGACGCGCCTCGCCGGGCGCGCCGCGCGCCGCCGGCAGCTGACTGAAGACGCGCGAGCCGCGCTGCACCAGCTTGCCGACCAGCGGCGCCGGCGCCGCCGTGAACGCTGGCTTGACCTGCACGCCTGGCGCGGCGCACATCACCGGAGACATATCGGGGCGTGCGCGCGCGGGGCCGGCTCCGGCGGCGACTGCGGCGGCGGCGGCGCGGCGCGGCGCGGCGGCCGGAGCGCGCGTGTCGCCCTCTGTTTACGGCCGGCGGGGGTGCCGCGCGGTGGCGGCGGCGGCGGCGGCAGCGGCCGGCCAGCTGATCAGCGACCGCCGCTATCTGCGGCCGATCGCAGTCGGATTAAAGGGCGCGTCATTTTTCATCATCAGCCGCAACGCGCTGGAGGAGTCGCCAGGTACACGGAGTCCCGCAGGAGGTCCGAGGACCCAGGCCCCGGCCGTGCAGGGGCCCGGGAGCCCGGAGCAGGAGCCCGGGGCCCGTCACGCTCGAGGCTCGGGACCCGGGCCAGCGCCTCTCGCCCTGCCATCTATGGGACCCACCGCGCCTGTCGACAGGATCCGCCGCACTGCGGCGACGGGTTCACTGGGGCACTGGTGCTCCCGGACATCGGATGACGGTTCCTATGCATCCTACTCCGGGATTACGCGAGCAGTCGCCCTCGCAGGAGGTTTCACGGAACTACGCTGCATGCCACGAGGTATTCGCCACGCTAGGGGTGCAGCCTTAATCTCTCTCGGTCATCGCAGGAGCTGCTCGTACTTACTTCCCCTCCCTTTACTTTCATAAAGTCCACGCCAGCTGCCGGACAGACGGGCGCCTTTTAAGGATCAGAATTAGCGTCGGCTTCTGATACACCGAACACTCTGAGAAAAGAGCACATTCGGATAAACGGACGTCAAGGCATGCAACGCCATGCCCAACGTCTGAGTGGTTACCATCGTTATCAACGCCCATCATCCGAGTAGACGCAGTTACCAAAAGCAGTATGAGCCCAATTACTAACAAAACAAAATAGAAATCGGGCTGGCAAGCAAACCCCCATAACGCGGCGGCACCAAACGCGACAGCGCAATTGTATCTCTATCTACCTTCCTCAAAGTGGCGCACAGAGTGCCTGCCCAGCTTCAGAGCATATCCATGGCGTTGACGTGTCATGCAGTGCACTGCATTTAAGTACCCTATTTGGCGAATAAGCTCTGTGCGGTGCTCCTGATGTGTTTCTGGTAAAGATCAACACCACGATGACTGAGGTGTGCTCTTTACAGTGAAACGCAACGAAGACTTCTCAGATAATCCGTTGTATATGATGCTGTTCGGATGTATCCTATCACAGCCGAACCCGCCGTGGTCGTAACTGCTGTAAGCTGTTCAAGCAGCTTTCGAGATAGGTGCGGCGGCTGATGGCGTATCGCCACGGCTGCCTGGGGCCGTCATAAAGAGGGCGCTATAGACCGCTGTTCTTCCACCCGCGTCCAGAGAAGTCGCGGCCGCCAGCCTCACGGGATCCCACGAGAAGATCAAAACCGATCGCAACAATGCAGTCAGGCTGGTTTGGGAGACCACCTATCCGCTCGCGGCCGCTGTTGAGCCCACGGACGTCGTGGCCTATCTTGTTGACTCGAGCCTCGGCCAGCTATTGGAGGCTGGGATGATGCACTCTGTGGGCTCTTATTGAGGATAATCGGCAAAAATCTTTCATTCGCGCTCATGCACAGCTGATGCTTCACCGCGAGATAAGCTTCTTTAGGGGCAACCGTTATCTTTCCAAAGAGCGGAATACCCCGGCCGACTCGCATCTTTATCGTAATCGGAACAATTCTGAGTAGCCTGCCGCAGGACGACGACGAATGAGCAAGCACGGCCGACAAAACCTCTCGTTATCTAACAGCGCATTCGCGGTTCACAACTCATACTCCGGAACCCCATGATATACGCAATTCCCGTACCGAGAAGTTCGGCGCACGTCACAAGACAATCGGTGGCGCCGCGATGCCAAACACTAGCTCAGGTATGTCAACATGTGTGAGGGAGCAGCAGGGAATTCCTCACCTCCGCTCCAGCTCCCGCTCCCGGAAGCCCACCCTGCGGTCAGCGGACGCATCCGACGAGGCAAAGTGACGAGGACGCGCTGGACGGACCCCATCAAGGCCGACCGCCTCGTGGTGCCATTGACACCCCTCCGCTGCAGCAGGTGAATGCAGCCGAGCTGTTGGACCAGTGTAATGACGCTTACGGCTTTGGACCGCAGCAAAGCGTGGCAGGCGGAGTGCCGCCGCAAGCGTCACCAACAGGCCCGAGCTCCTGGAACTTCCTCGCCAAGGTCACCGAGGTCTCACCTCACCTTCCTCACTGGGCTCACTCCGCCCACACTCAGCACGTGAGACGGTGGAAAGACACAGGCCGAGCGTGCCCCGTAAACACGGGCCCAGACCGGTAACCGCACGCGCGCGTGCACAAGCAGCAGCCGATGCCGACGTGCCATCACGACGCCGTCAACACGTTCCTCGCCTCGCCAGTAATGGCGGCAGGGCCGGCGAGTCTACACGTGAGACCTAGACCGGCTGAATGCCGGTCTAGGTCTCAGAGTGCTCTGCCACTGGGCTGGGTCCCGGTCTAGGTCTCAGAATGCTTTGCCACTGGACTGGATACTGGTCTAGGTCTCAGAGTGCTCTGCCACTGGGCTGGATCCCGGTCTAGGTCTCAGAGTGCTCTGCCACTGGGCTAGATCCCGGTCTAGGTCTCATAGTGCTCTGCCACTGGGCTGGATCCCAGGTCTAGGTCTCAGAGTGCTTTGCCACTGGACTGGATTCCGGTCTAGGTTTCAGAGTGCTCTGCCACTGGGCTGGATCCCGGTCTAGGTCTCAGAGTGCTCTGCCACTGGGCTGGATCCCGGTCTAGGTGTCAGAGTGCTCTGCCACTGGGCTGGATCTCGGTGTAAGTCTCAGAGTGCTCTGTCACTGGCTCGACACCTGACCTGGCAGCAGGTGGGCCGTGCGACGTCCTGCCTAGCATGGCCCGAGCGACGGGACGCGCAGAGTCCATGACACCTGACACAACGTGGAACTCTGATCTTACGCAGCTCGGACAGCCTGACACTCAAGCTCCCGGCACAACGCGCGCAACACTGACACGTGACGTGGCATTACCCCCCCCCCCCCCCCCAACGCACAGAGCCGCGTGCCAGAAGACAGGTTTTTTTTCGGCTCGCTCCGCTAATCGTCAGGTGTTATGGTGGTGGCGCGCCGGTGCGTGCCCTCGCGCCTCATGGAAGTTTCCGGCGCGCTCGGCTGACCGCCAAACGGTTACGCCATGTGACAGTCGCGATCGACTCGCTCACTCATTGGGTTGACAGGTCACTGGCATCGAGTACGATAACAACGTGTGCACGTGGGCACTTCAGGTGGCTGATGTGTCATATGGCACCGGCAGCGCAGCGGACGCTCAACACCCCCTCCTCCCTGACATCACAGCGGTCAGCAGGGCACACTGCTGAGTCAGCTTGGCCCCCAAACCATTACGAAACACTTCTGACTCGGAGAAGTCGTGCAACTCCCGTGCCTGCAGGAGTTTCACGTCGATATCCTCAATGACCAGGCGCATCAACCTGACCCAACGTCATACCTTTCAGTTCAGCCTGACGCGACATCTACTCTCAGGCCAGCCTGATCCGACGCCTGCTCTCAGTTCGGCCTGACCCGACATCTGCGTCAGTCCAGCCTGATCCGACGCCTGCTCTCAGTCCAGCCTAACCCGAACGTCATACCTTCAGTTAACCTGACTCGACATCTACTCTCAGTCCGCCTAACCCGCGTCATACCTTTCAGTTCAACCTGACCCGACATCTACTCTCAGTCCAGCCTAACCCGACGTCATACCTTTCAGTTCAACCTGACCCGACATCTACTCTCAGTCCAGCCTGACCCGACATCTACTCTCAGTCCAGCCTGATCCGACGCCCTGCTCTCAGTCCAGCCTAACCCGACGTCATACCTTTCAGCTCAGCCTGACCCGACATCTACTCTCAGTCCAGCCTGACCCGACATCTACTCTCAATTCGGCCTGACCCGACATCTACTCTCAGTCCGGCCTGATCCGACGCCTGCTCTCAGTCCAGCCTAACCCGACGTCATACCTTTCAGCTCAACCTGACCCGACATCAACTCTCAGTTTGGCCTGACCCGACATCTACTCTCAGTCCGGCCTGATCCGACGCCTGCTCTCAGTCCAGCCTAACCCGACGTCATACCTTTCAGCTCAAGCCTGACCCGACATCAACTCTCAAGTTCGACCTGACCCGACATCTACTCTCAGTCCGGCCTGATCCGACGCCTGCTCTCAGTCAAGCCTAACCCGACCCCTGCTCTCGCTCCATGACAGCGACAAATGATGACCCCGCGAGCTAGCATGCCCTTCGACAGCCATGACCTTCGAGGGCCATGACCTTCAGTGGCCATAAGATCCAGTGAGCTAGCACGCGGCTCACCCAAAGTGGGACCCCAGTCGTCAGTCAGCTCAGTCGGGAGCAGTCCGCAGGAGCAGCAGCGCTGTGTTGGGCAGCTGCTCTCCGTCTGAAGCCTTTTAAGCAGCCGTCTACTCCAGGTGCACGAAAAAATGGCCGGCGCCACACCTGTGGTGCTCGTGACATCACCTGTCGCGCCAGGTTATGGCTCACGCTGTTTGTGTTTGAGGCTGGCATTGGGACAGTGTTCCATGCGTTGTAAATCGATAATGTCGAAGCGCCTCTAAGTTTTAGCTTGGAGTGCGGCACCGTTTATGGGTCGTTTGGTTTTAATAGCGTTTGATCGTCGCGCTACGGCGAATGGTGAGATGTTCATGCACTGGTGGCAGGGGCGCAAAGGATAAGTAGGGAAAATGGCTAAACCTGCCACAAAATACTAAAACAGACTTCTCCCCGAATACGACAACCATTCGTCTCAAGTTGGGGGGGGGGGGGGGGCTGGAGTCCTCCGGGAATGAAGCTCCCGTGGCTGAGGATGGGACTGAAGAATAAGTGTCCGGCCCATTGTGCCCGGCAGTTTATATGCCAGTCTTTACGGGCTGCGTAGGATCGAAGCTCCACGCTATGTGAGTGTACATGTGTTCCTTGGCTCATCGCGTCACTCGTGTTCTGTGAGGTCGTCTC